GTTTTTGGCTGTTGGATTTGCCTCCTCTTTTGTCACACAGGGATTCCTGCCTATGTCGTGGTGCCCCGGACAGCCCCGCAGTGTAAACAAGCTGCCATCCGCAGCTACGGTGCCACGCTGGTGCCCTGCGAGCCCAGTGACAAGGTGAGGCGTGGGGGAGACCAGCCAGGGACCCAGCACAGCCAGGGACCCAGCACAAGCAGACTGAGAGACAACTGTCTGCGCTTTCCCTTAGTCCAGAGCCGAGACAGCATCTCGCGTAGTCCAGGAGACGGGAGGAGTCATGGTGCACCCCAACCAGGAGCCGGCCGTGATGGCGGGACAAGGCACAATCGCCCTGGAGGTGCTGGAGCAGGTGAGGAAAAGACCCAGCCCAGGGCTCTGCTCTGCAGAGGCAGGGGCACAGCAAAAGGGGGTGCGTGAGGTGCCAGAAGCACTCACTCTTCACTTCTGCACAGGCACCCGAGGTAAACGCGGTGGTGGTTCCTGTCGGAGGAGGAGGAATGATTGCGGGAATAGCAGTTGCCATCAAGGTAGGCAACAGCTCACCCAGGAAGTGATGGCTGCATCTCCCCGTGGGAAGAGCAGGGCTCCCGAAAGAGGCAGCAGCTGTGGAAATCCTGCTGTGAAAATCTGAGTGCGTGGGGTGTGCCCCCTGCGCACACAGCAACAGTAGATGGGCACACGCTAGTGCAAAGTGAGCGGCTCCTCCTGCTCTCCGCAGGCTTTGAGGCCAGATGTGAAAGTGTTCGCTGCAGAGCCACGCAACGCCGACGACTGTTACCAGTCCAAGAGAAGAGGGGAACTGACCCCCAACCCTCACCCGCCAGATACCATCGCAGATGCAGTTAAAACCAGCATCGGACCAAACACATGGCCCATCATCAGGGATTTGGTCGATGACGTCCTGACAGTCTCAGAGGAAGAAATCAAGGTAAACAGCTCCTGGCTCCCTTCTCACGGTAGCTGCCAGCAGGCAGCTGCCTCCATCCCTGCTCTGCCCCTCCGCTCTCCCCGCGCAGCACAAGCCCCTGCTCACCACCGCAGCTGTGCAACGCCCACACTCTCCAGCTGGAAAGGGCTGGCGGAAGCTCTGCTCTCCCTTCCCAGAGCGCTGCAGAGATGTGCACGCGCAGTGCCCTCCGCAGCCCCCGAGCAGCCTGTACCGGCTACCTGCTGCTCTGTCCCGACAGCAAGCCACGCGGCTGGTGTGGGAAAGGATGAAGCTGCTGATTGAGCCAACAGCGGGTGTGGGAGTGGCGGCCGTGCTCTCGGAGCAGTTCCGAGCAGTCCCTCGGGATGTGGAGAACGTTTGCATCGTGCTGTGCGGGGGAAACGTGGACCTGAGCTCCCTGACCTGGCTCACAGACCTCCCTGGGAAAGTGGAGTGAGAACGGAGCAGTGTCTCAAGTGACCAAAACCCCACTCTGAATTTGCACAGCCTGGTGTGTGCAGTACTAAAAACAGATGAACAATCCCAAACGTTTGGAAGCTTTTGTGGCGGGATAAGGGAAGCTGGTGTTGGTCTCTACAGCACAGTCGCTTGGTTCCACAGCAAAGGGTTGCTATGGAGGGGCAGGAAACAAAGTACTGCCTGTTTTCCCCTCCCCAGCCCCCCTGCTCTGGGACAGACCTCCCACGAGCTACGCTCAAGTCACTCTGCCCAGCTGCTTCGCCTTTCTTTCTCAACATCACAGTAACTTCCAGCAAACTCCTGTCCTCGATACAGCCAAACCCACACATGCACCGTGTCAGGGCACAAGGGAAAAACAACAGCCCCAGTGGGTTCCCGAGACCTGGGGTGCACACAGCCTCCCCATTTGGCCTCCACAGCCAGCCACCATCAAGACAGAGGCACTTAGAGATTTTTTAAAACATTTTCCCATTAAAATAAATAGCTGTAGCTGGTACCTGAGCAGCAGCTGGTGAGACAGCTGCCTCTGTACAGACCCCAGCAGTAACACGTCCAAGACACCGGTGCTGTCCTCACTGCACGCGGGCTAAGAACAGCATCCAGGGAGCTAAGGCACAAGCTCCAGCCATGCTGGAGACTCATTCCATCTCCACCTCCTGCACCGGCAGCGCACTCTCGCTCCTCACCCACGGCACAGGCTCCGGAACGTGGGGGTCATAAGTCCATTTAGGAAAAACGCGCTTGTAGAGGTGCAGCAGCACCGTGTCCTGGGACTTTAGCTGCCCATCGAAGTGGCACTTCATGTGACCATGGGTCCCTAGGCAGAGAGCAAAGAGGCCATGAGCTGTCTCTCCTGCCAAGGAGGACTACACCTGCCCAGCATCAGAGATAAATACCAAATCAAACCCACCTAATGGTTCCTTGATGTGTCCTCTACGACCCCACTTTGTCCTCAGCTCCACTGGTTTAAACCACATCACATCCTCTGGAGATAAACACAAAGGGTGGGTAAGAAACAGGCTTTGCTGCACCAACACAACCGCTCCCACAGCCTCCTCATCCCCTCTCCCCACCACACAGAGCCCAGCCGTACCTCTGTTAAAGAACATGTACCGCACCACAGCCATCTTGGTAAAGATCTTGAAAGGATGGCCGCTGAGCACCAGCCGCTTGATGACAATTCTGTCTGGGTCCACGGAAAGCAGAGAACCCGTGGCGATGAGGTCATGCATTCCTGCAAGGCAGAGTCACGAATGCCCCCCAGCAGCGCCACAGAAGGTGCCTCCATCATCTCCCCCACCACCACAACCCCCTTCCCCAAATGGTGCCAGGTGCAGAGCAACCCCACAGCAGCGCCAGACAAAATTTCAGTGATACTGGGGCTGGAAATGCATTAATCTCAAACAGCACAAAGGGGACAGCTTTTTCAAGTCATCCTTTCTGGATGGATGCACTTACAAGTGGGGTATAGTAACGCCCTGCTAACGTTTCCTTCCCAAACACCACCTCCTCAGCACTCTCCAACTTACCGTTACTCCTCTGTTTAAAAAGAAGCACTGAGGCAGGAGGAAAAGTGATGGGAGCGTAAACAGTCACCACCAGGGCAGCATCCGGGCGCAGGAAACGCTCCAGCTTGTGCTTATCAGCTAGGACAGAAGAGCAATGATCAAGTTCAGGCCAACGGCAATCCTCAGAGCTCTGGGAAGCCCCACTGAGCCCATTCTTCGCTGGCAAACAGGCTCCACACTTTAGGAAAACAGGTGACAAACACCCCTCCTCTGCTGCACAAAGTATCTGGAAATGAAGGTGATCCTCCGAGCTACCAGCTCGCTGTGTGGAGCCTGCCACCACCTCTCCCAAGCCCTCCCACTGCCCGCTATTTAGCGTCTCCCCTGGAAGCCTCAGAACCTAGGAGTGAGTCTTCAGAAGAGTCCTTCAGCCAGGTTCAGACACCACGGCTAAGACATCACAGGCTTCCTGCCCCAGAAACCCCAGCCCAGCTCCTGCCATACCCATGCCCACCCCACCAGTCCCTCACAAACCTGAGGTGTGCTGGGAGAACAGGGGGGATGCTCGGAAGCGTCTGAACCCACAGTGGAAGATCAGTTCTTCCTTCGCCCTCACTGGCTCACTGTTGCTTGGATGCCGACGCACCAGGAAATTCAGCACAGACATCTGCAAGAGAGGCAGCGCCGTCAGGTGCCGACAGCAGGGCTGGCACGCGATGGCAGACAGAGCAGAAAGCACTGGGACATTGCAGCAGAGACAAATACCCTTGACAACGGCTTCCCAAAATGCCGCTGGTCACCAACGCAGACACCTCAGCCAGGCTCAGACACTACAGCCTGAACGCCCTGGGCAGCTTCAGCCTGCTCTGACCAAAGGGAAGGTCCTACTTTGACATGCAAGCAATGTGGGGAGATTTCAGCAAAAACCCTCCGCAGCCAGAACCTCTCGTTAGACAAGGAGCCGCACACATACAAGCTATCAGCAGGGCCATACTCAGTTACCTTTTGTTCATGGGGAAGCAGCAAGAACAGGATGAGAGGCTTCCCTTCTTTGAAGCTCTCCATCACTGAGACAGGAACATTGCAGATATGAAGCGTAACGTACCAGCCAACCTGCCAAGAGAAGATTGGTCATGAATACTTCTCTCAACAGAAAAGTGTCAGAAGTAATATGTGTCTGAGTTAGAGGGAATCCAGGAGAACAATATCATGTGAACTCATGGCTTCATGCTAAGAATCAGCTGGCTGAAAGATCCACCCAGCCACCTCCCTGACAAGTCTTTCCTATTGGGAGCAAGGGAACACAGTAGGGGAAGAGATCAGCAAGAGAAAAGGGAGTTACCGAGGCTCCTTCAGTCTCCTCTTTCTCTATTCGCCGGAAGAGGTGCTTTCTGGTTCGGGAGAAGTCCTGGAACTGGAAAATCCTGGCATAATCCCTTGGGAGATTCTCTTTGGGGTCCCATGGAGATGTCCGGAAGCTCTTCAGCCCCCTGTACTTCTGGAACCTAAAAGGACAGAAAGACAAACTACTTCACAAACAGAGCTGTCTGGCCAGCACCTTCTGTGGTCCGCAGGGACTCACACCTTCAGAGAGGGCAAAGGGAACAAAGCAAATGTCAGCTCTCAGAAAAGATCTCAGTGTAGAGAGAACTAGAAACAGCAGCCAAGTCCCCAGACAACCTGCCCTTGCCTCAGGGCTCTGCCACCCTCCTTCCTCTCCCAGGACCCAGCTCTCCCTGCCACAGGGAGCTGAGCCCACCCACTGTCCCCAAAGCTAGTGCCCGCCCTGGAAGCCTCAGAGCCTAGGGATGTGTCTTCAGAAGAGTCCTTCAGACAGGTTCAGACACCACGGCTAAGACATCACAGGCTTCCTGCCCTATCTCACCAAACTAGACAAGGGCGCCTTCCAGCTCCTCTCCCAGCAAAGCATCCTGTTTCTTACCGGACTCTGGCAGGGACGTCACGTGGCGTGTCCACCTCATCTGGAAACATTTCGTCCATTCTCTCCTGTTTGTATCTCTCCAGCATCTGTTCATCATCCTCCACCTTCTCGTCATACTGGTCATCCCGCAAGGACTCAGGAATGGTCATGCTCTCACACTCCTCCTCTGCAGGTTCCTCTTCCTCCTCACTGTTTTCCCCCTCCTGACGCACAGGACAGCACAAAGCCCGTGAGCACACACCCTGCTGATGTCCATGCAGCTCTGCAAACCCTGCGTGTACTCGCACCATGTGAACTATGCCCCAAGCTACATCAGAGTCCCTCTTTTCGGTATCTAACAGGCCAAAGAAGCAACATGATACATATGAGAGATATCCAGGCAAGTCCTGGCTCTGTGTTGTGCCCTTGCATGGAGCAAGCTGGAAGGACAGGACTGTCCTAGAACATGCAATAACACCCTGGAGATCACCTGCAGGATCAGCTCTTGGAAGTACCTGGGAAGCTGCCTCTTCCATCATATCATCATAGATGTCATCATCTTCATCATCATCATCATCTCTCTCACTGCCTTCTTCTCCATCATCCACAATCCAGGCAGCCTGGTACTTGGATGTGCCTTTGGGGACCTTCACCACCCTCCTGTTTGCCTTCAGAGAAGCTGTAGGATTCCCACCAATAGTTAATGCAGGAACAATTCTCCTTTCCCTCAGCAACATTTACACCAGGAGAGCCAATATCAGCTCCAGACCAGAATCACTGTTTCCCAGCACAGAATTTGTCAGGGCCCAGAAAAAGCAGCTAAAATGTAATCCTGCTAACTGCCAGGAAACCACACAGCCTGCCAGTTGGGTTATGGGACTGGGAATGGAAGCCCTGGGCTCCCAATAGCATGTTTCTTCACATCCATCCTCAGCCATCCCAGTGACAGAGGGTTTCTAACAACCCTCTTAATGGGGAGAAAGAAAAGGTACAGAAGTATTGCTGCTACTTACCTTCTGCTTCCTGCAGTTCTTCTTCAGTAGGCCAGGTCTGCTCCCCTTCCATCGGATCAGGAACCACCTCGGACTGCAAAGACTCCTGCTTGTTTGGATCTGCCTTCATTAGGACCTTAACATCCTCCTCCATCTCTTCGGTGGCATTTACAGAGTCATCCTGAAGGACAAGAGCAGAGTCCCCAGCTGTGAATACACCTAACTCAAGCTAGCAATCGGTCTGAAGTGAAACACCCTTCAGTATCACATTCATTATGTTGTGACACCACATTCGTTACACGCTGTAGGCGGGGGATCTCAGCTCGGGGGCAGAACACAGGCCAACTGGCTCTGATACAACTCCTCCCCCCCCAGCCCTTGATCACATCCACCCAGTTGCATTTTCACAATTAAAGTTTAGAAACGTCGTGTTGTAACACGACCAGCAAAGCTCTGACCTCCCACACACCTGTACCTCCATGTCCTGACTCTTCTTCTGTCCTTTAAACACTCGGGGGTTCAAAGAGAGGGGGTCGGGGGGGGCATCCACCTGGCT